ATACATTATGGTTTAAAATACCTAATACCAGAGTGATTTTAAGGGCTCTACAACAACATAATCTGGGCCTTAGTTCTATAGTTTGCTACTGAGTATTTTTAAACATCTGTAGATTCTCACACAGGCACATATATTTTACATGTTTTTGGATATGTATGTAGTATATATATGTAAAACTTTTTGAAAATAATGTATTTTTTAATCATGGCTATTGAGTCCTTAAGAATAATTTCATTTGGGTCACTCCTATGGTCCCCATAGATTATTTTTATAGATTTTTGCCATTTAAAAGAACACGTATCTAAAAGATTATCTATTGCTGCTTAACGAGTTTCACAAATTTAGCAGCATGAAAATACTCATTTATTAGTTTGTAGTTCTGTAAACCACATGTCTGGAATGGTATGGTGTGGCTGGGTTTTTTGCTGAGTGTATGACGTGGCGGAAACCCGGTGTTGGCAGGGCTGAGTTTTTGTCTGGAGGCTCTGGGGGAAAACTGCTTCCAAGGACATTCAGGTCGTCGGCAGATTCCAGTTCCTTGAAGTTGTATGCCTGACGTCCCCGTGTTACTTGCCGTCTCTCAGCGGCCAGAGGCTGTCCGCGGGTCCTTTCCGCGTGGTCCCTCCATCTTCAACCAAAAGAGGTGCACTGAATCTCTCGTGGGTTTCAGATCTCCCTCAGTGACCCTTCTAGAATTAGCCAGAGAAAGCATTCTGGCTTTAAAAGGCCCATGTCGGGGCGCCTGGGTGGCTCAGTGGGTTAAGCTGCTGCCTTTGGCTCAGGTCATGATCTCAGGGTCCTGGGATCGAGCCCTACATTGGGCTCTCTGCTCAGTGGGGATCCTGCTTCCTCCCCCCTTCTCTCTGCCTGCCTCTCTGCCTACTTGTGATCTCTCTCTCTCTGTGTCAAATAAATAAATAAAATCTTTTAAAAAATTTTTTAAAAATAAAAGGCCCTTGTGGCTTTATCAGGCCCACTTGGATAATCTCCCTATCTTTAGGTCAACCGATTAGTAACCTTAATTACATTGGTCAAATCCCTTTTGCCACGTAAGGTAACATAACCATGGGGCCATCTTAGAATTCTGCCTACTATGCTTACCTTATGTAGACGCCCACATCCACTGTTCTCCAAATCCAGTTTTCAAGGTGGGTGACATGACAAAGCATTTGGAGCATTAAATATGAATCACCACGATCCATTGTATTTAGACAAAATTACTTTTATTGTGAATGTCATGCAAAAGGGTTTATAGTACTGAAAAATACATTTACTTTTTTAAAAAGTCTGCGTGTGCATTAGATCAAAGTACATTTAAAAGACATAAAGACCTATTATAAACACGCAGCATGTTGCTTACAGGTCTCTGATTGCATCAGATGACAACGAGTAGCTTTATCTCCTCCGTGTCTGCCATTAATCATGATCTTGGTCATACACTAATGACACAAAGTCATAGACGTTGTAGCTAAAAGACAGCAGAGATCATTTGTTACCACCCCCTCCCCCGTTCCCTGACTTTTTCATAAATGAGGAAGCAGAGACTCAGCCTTTAACTCAGAGAGGCCACAGAGTCCGCTGGTCAGGGGTAGAGATTGGCCTGGAATATGTTTTCTGATTCCCTACCTGGTAGTAATAGTAAGGACAGTACCCTTAACTGAAGATTCTCTGTGTATCAGGCATTATCCTAATCACTTGAAATATAGTGTTTTTCTCATCCTCACAAAAATCCTATGAGGTAGCATTACTCTCTTTGCCATTTCACAGTTTTGAGAAAACTGAGTCACCGAGGGACTAAGTAATGGGTTCAGTGTCACCCAGCCTGTTTCTGGTTAAGTGGGGATTCACAGAGAAACAGTCCGACACCAGGGCCTGAGCCTTTCCCGGGGTCCTGCCCTTCCCACGCCACTGGCCACTACTCACGGGGCCTTCCATGTGCAGTTACAGATCTCGCTGCATGGTCTACCCACTGGCTGTATTCTGACAACAAGTCAGCGAATAGCGGAGAATTTGGATCAGGGAACTGTGTATCAACTTCAGCTGTGTCACTTTCTGTATAAGCTGCCAGGGCCCATGGACGCTGTATCTGTAAACAGGGATTGTTGGAGTTCTGAAGAGAATGCAGGTAAAAGGGGGTCTCTAAACCCAAGGATGACACGTTCATTGTATTGTTACTCTTTGACAAATGGTAGCTGGTTCTCATCACCCTGGAACAGCAGGTTTTCATATTATTCTTGCTGTGGTGGAGTCAGATGTTATGTCCTGACACTTTTAGGAATCTCGTTTCCTTTGAAGGTCTTATGGCTCCTGGAGATCTCCTCATTCCACATTTTTCAGCTCCCACAGTGGTACAGCTCACTTGGAGGTGATTTTCCGCATGGGCGTTCTTCATGGGAAGAGAACGGTACAGCCACGTGGAGAGCCCAGGACCTAGCCCTTGGGCAGGCTCCTCACAGCAGCCTGGTACCTTCCATGATTCTGGTGCACAATGGAACAGAACTGTATGACTTTTGGATGTGGCCGTTGGGAGAGCACCGTGAAATAATCATGAATATTAAATTTTTGAGTACAAGCATCTCTTCATCCCTCTCCTTTTTCTAAAAATGTTTTCTCTTTTTTCTGTATATGTGTATTTTCTGCTCTACTATTTGAAAGGAAGTTGCAGACACTATAACATTTCAGGTCTAAGTTCTTCAGCATGGATCTCTAATGATAAGGGTATATTTTATAATACATGCCACTATCTACGTAGGAAAATTAACAATTTTCTTATCCTAATATCCAGTCCATGTTCAGATTTTCCTTCTTTGTCCTAAAATTGCTTTTAGAGTGTTTTGCTTTTAGGGTTTCTTGTTTTGTTTTTTCCCCAAAAAGAAGCCAAAGTATACTCATAGAATTTAATGGTTACGTCTCTGTGATATTTTAAAATCTGGACCGATTCCCCTACCTTGTTAGTTTATTTGTTTGTTTTCATATTGACTTTTTAAAGAGACTAAGCCAATTCTCTTGAACAAAACCCCATGTTCTGTGTTTGTTTACTGTGTGTGTGTATGTGTGTGTGAGAGAGATTTATCATTTACTCGGTCCTCTAGTTTTTAGAAAACTAGAAGTTGGTTCCAAAGACCTAATTAGAAACAGTTTGTATATTTTTGTCTGGACTGACTTGATCAGTGGTACTGTGTATTTTCTATCAGGAGGTACCTGTGATTGTCCCACTATCAGTGCTACTAAGTTTGATCACTTGATTAAGATAGTGATAGCTGGCTGGTCTCCCAGAGTTGAAGTCTGTTTTTACCTTTAACAAACAAAACTAAATTGTGGAATGGGGTTTTTTTGTTGTTGTTTTTTTCGGGGGGGTGCTCATGTGCATATCCTTTCATCTAAGGCTGTTAGCATCCACGGATGTGCCTTATCTGAACCATTTATTCCCTTGAAGGTTGCAAATTGGTCATTTTAAATTTTTATCATTCCTTTGACACTTACTACATGTATTAATTATGTACTAAATATAACTAATATTTCTTGGTAAAGAAGAGCCTTCCCTCTTCAGTCACAGATGCTTTAGATTCTCTTACAGTTCATATCAGTACAACATGTCTACTATCAATTTCCTAAAATATCAGCCTCATATTATGGAACTGAACGGTAGATCAGTCATAACTTATATTTGATATAAACTTTAGAGCATTTCGATGGACATGGAGATTGGAAGTAGAAAATAGATGAAATTTAAAGCAGTGTTTCAAAAGGGTGAGCAAATATTATACGTTGTTGCTGGAGGAATTTCAAGAAGTCAGGGTCAATATCAGCAAATGTTTATTGATCTAAAGTGAAATTATTAGTATCAGGCATTAAAAGAGCTTACCACAACCCCAAAAGCTAATGGCATGCATGGTCAATGTAGATACATATTTAGGCCCGACAAGAAGTAAATTAAGACAAATAGTTTGGACTGTCCCCTATCCCTCCAGCTTCAGCAGTCTCTCTGCTCCACATTCTGACATGCAAGGCCCTTTGTGTTGGCAGCTCAGGTTCTTGTCTGACACTCCCCCACCATTACTCTTCATCTGGTTACTTCCATCATCCTTCAGCAGCACATGGTTTTTCCTGCCTTCGTGCCTTTGTCTAGGCCCTTCCCTTGGCCCCAAACACTTACCTTCTTGCCTCTCAGGTCCCAGTGTACCCATTTCTCAAACCCAGCTAAAATCCCACTCCTTCTGTCAAGCTCCTTCCTCCCTGACCTGTCCAAATCACTTGCGCTTCTTACACTCCGTCACATCTGTGGTCTCTGACTCAGTTTCCCGTTTGGTCTTCTCATGGGCTCCCGTAAGTAAATCTCATATTCAAGCTATCGATCCTCCTTAAGGACATGACTACTCGTGATCCCAAGTTAGAAAGCTCTTCTCACATGGCATTGCTTGTTTTTTGCATTCCCTTTGACAGTCTCTCTGAAAGTTACCAACAGATATAAAACTCTATCAGACAGGTTATCTCCCTTGTATGGCTTTCTTTGTCTTCTAATATTGATCACCCTCCAATATCAGGTTTTTGTGTGAGAGTTAAGGCTAGAATTGAGGTTTACTCATCACTTTGGAAACAGAGTCAAGGCCTAATCATTTCATTATGATCAAAAGAAAGGAAAAAAGAAAAAGACAGGCATAAATTAACATATTTAAATATTACAGTGAAAACAAAGCTTATGTTATTTTCCTTTAGTTTGAACCTTTTTGTTCCTTTTGTAACCAACTCGAACACTGCTTTAAATGGAAAAAAAAAAAAACAATGGTACTTTGTGCTTCTTGAAGATTTTTTAAGAATATTTTCATCCCACACAACAAGACATTGTGGGAAATACCTTTTCGGTGTGTCTCCTGAATAAGACCACTTTGCCTTTCTGCAGTTCTTTCCATCTGAGGACCTTCCCCACGTTGGCTGAGTATTTTTCGTTACCAGATGGTGATGACAAAAGCTATCATGCCTCTTGTTTTCCGTCTGTGCAGAAGCAGGAGGTAAAAAGCTACGGAGCACTGTCCAGAGGAGCACGGAAACGGGCCTGGCTGTGGAGATGAGGAACTGGATGACTCGCCAGGCAAGCCGAGAATCGACCGACGGCAGCATGAACAGCTATAGCTCAGAAGGAAAGTGAGTGAGGCCAGCCGTGGTGCGCGTCTCCTCCGTGCCTTACCAGGACCGTCTCCTTCCTCTCTCTCTCTCTCTCTCTCTCTCTCTGTGCTTTCCCAGAAGCGAACTCACACTCTCGAGAGCACCATTTTCATTTCCACTGGCTGATGTGCTGTGAAGAGAACTTTTGCTCGCCTACCCCCGAGAAGTGGGACCTAGCTGGCTTTTTCTATCAAGGGAAATAGGTTTGAGGATAAAGCATTTTGCTTTAACAGCAAGACGCTGAAATGTGACTGTCACAATACAGGCACGTAAAAGTTTGCCTGGTTTCAAGTAATATAGAGACACCCAGAAAAGAGTAAGCTCTCCAGCCATACCACGTGAACAATGCTAATTGCTCTAATCTTGGCTCTTAAGAGGGATTCCTAAAAATTCTAGAATACCTGACACATACTTCATTCCTGGAAGTAGCAGGCAGTTCAGATAGACATAATGCCACAAAGGAAGGTAGTGAGCCCTTCCTTTATGTAGTTAGCAGTAGCCTTTCCTTGAATCAGCTGTAGCCCGGACATTTTCAGAGCATTTGTCGAGATAATGTAGCCCCGTCACCGACAAATTGACAATAATCAGCAACCACAGATCTATAGATGGTGCACAGAGGAGGATAATCGAGGAGAGTGGGGTTTACTGACCTCGCTCTGTTGTCAGCATGGAAGCATCAGACATTTAGACAACAAAGATGTGGCCAGATGTGAGGCAAAGAGGAACGTTTGTCTAGCATGACTATATAAATACGGGAGAGGTGTATGGTTTCCATACATTTATCAGTAAGATTGTGTGGGATACCAATTTAAATGCTTGGATTAACTATGTATTTGGGGATTTAGGTTGGGGGAAGAAACAGATTTGACATTCATCAAGGAAGTTTTAAAAGGGATGGAGAAGCAATTAAAAAATGAATGTGCACTGAGCTTTCCTCATTGCAGAATGCTATGGTAGATGCTGTTAGGGATACAAAAATGTCCCAGCTATGGCCCCTGGTACCCTAGATGTTTATATTTTATGGGAGAAATGGGTTGAATATGTGTATTCATTCAACAAATATTTTCACACCTTCCAGTGTTCTAAGCACTGTGCTGAGTTGGTATATAAGTCATACAAGGGGGCCAAAAATCAGTTAGTGGTTAAGATGATCGGCTTTTTAAAATCATATAGGCTTAAGTTCTCCTCTGTTTTTTGGTACTGTAGAAACTTGGGCAATTATTTAACTTTTCTTAGTTTCATTTTAATTAACTGATTTTGCTTAACAAGTATTTATTAAGTGCTTACAATATTCCAGACATGGTTCTAGGGGCTGGAGTTATATCAGTGAACAAAATAGAAACAAACAAATAAACAAAAAACCCTACCCTCACCAAACTTATGGTCTAATAGATAAGATGGACAATAAATAAGAAAAGTTGTTAATACATATATATAAGGAAAATTCATAAAATATATAGTAGATTAGGTAGTGTGAACGCTAAAGAGAAAAAGAAAGGAATAGAGATAAGAGAGGGCAGGGGTGGGTGTCATGTAGGGACAGGGAAAAGAAATGTATTTGGGTAAAGATTTGAAGAATGTGGACATTCGAGGGAAGAACATTCCAGCCGGAACCCATTCTGAGACCTGGAGGAAGCAGTTTGCCTGCCATCAGCGGTGGGGAAGGTAACACTGTGCACAAAGGGCGGGAATAGAAATTAACCTGGGGGGCAAGGAGTGGACGGCTTGCATCGACTTTGTAATAACAGTGTGAGGACTTTGCTTTTCCTCTGAGAGGGACGAGAAACCAGTGGAGGATTTGAGCAGAGTCCTAATGTTCCCTGACTTGAATTTTAACAGACCGTTCTGATTGCTGCGGGGGTGGAAAGTAAATTTGGCCACCGAGGGAACATCCAGAGGACTGTTCGGTAATACCGCAGACAGAAGATAAAGGCTGGGACCACAGTGATAGCATTATAATGCGAGGTCACATTTTAGATGCATTTTTACAGTAGAGCCTATAAGATTTATTGGTACATCTGATGTGAGTAAGGAGAGAAAGGGGGTGTATCGTTTGCTAGGGCTGCCCTACCAAAATACCGAAGATTGGGTAGCTTAAACAACAGAAATTTATTTTCTCATAGTTCTGGAGACTAGAAGTCCAAGATCAAGGTGTTACCCGGCTTGGTTTTTCCTGGGGCATCTCTCCTTGGCTTGCAGATGGCCTCCTCTCAGTGTGTGCTCACATGGTGTTTCTCCTGTGCAAGCAAACCCCTGAAATCTCTTGTTCTTCTTAAAAGGAAACCGTCAGATTAGGTTCGGTTAGAGTAGGGCCCCACCCTTACGAGCTCATTTAACCATAATTAACTCTTTAAAGGCCCTATGTCCATGTACGGGTCATACTGGGGATTAAGGTTTCAACATATGCGTTGGTGGGGGGACAAGGTTCAGTCCCTGACAAAGAGGAAAGGCTACCCCAGGGCTGGACAGTTGAAAGAATGAAGTTGCCATTTAAGATGAGAATCCCTTGAGAGGAACAGACTTTGGCTTTTCGTTTGTTTCGAGGTTGGGAGTCAGTTTGGGACAAATTGAGTATCAGTTGCCTGTTAGAAATCCAAGCAGACAGGTAGGCAAAGCAGATCCAATACTAATACTATAGCAGGTCTGTGGTCCAAGCCGGAGATGGCAATCTAGGCCATGTCAGTGTAGATAGCCTTTGAAACCGTGAAACTGCTTCAGATTACCAAGGAGACTGGGGCGTGCAGGAAAAATAAGAAGTCAAAGTTTTGGGCTCTCAATGCTTAATGGTAGAATCAGTAAGGGAAACTGGGGTAGAGTGGCCAAAGAGGAAAATCAGGGAACCAGAGGGTCTGGGAACCAAAGTGAACGATGTGTTTCAGTGGAGAGGGAGGGCTCCATTGTGTCAGCTGATACTAATGTGTTAAATCAGACAAGTGCTGAGTATGAACAGTTGGGTTACCCATGTGGCCCTCTGGTGACCTCGGTGGGGGGAGAAAAATCACGCAAGGAAGAGAGCAAGGAAAAACTGAATACAGAGTTTCAAGGGAGAACAAGAAAAAAGAAACTGAAGACAGCCCATAGAGTAAACTCTTTCCAGGAGCTTTGAGTAGAGAAATGGGGTGGGAGCTAGAGTAGGAAGGGAAGTTAGGAAAGGGATTTTTTTTTTTTTAAGGTAGAAGTTTTTTGTTGTTGTTGTTGTTGTTTAGGGTGGAAGAATAACAGCAGGTTTTGTGTACTGATGGGAATGATCTAGAAGAGTTTCTTCATTTGTAAAACAGGATAATAGAATCTATCTCCCAGTGCAGCTAAGAGGATTAAATCCGTGAATGCCTATTCGTGGAGTAAGGGCTCAGTAGGTAGCGAGTGCTACTGATAGAAATCACAGGCCAGGCCCTCCAGACAAGGAGGAGAAAGACTGGTACACAGCAGCCTGCAGTCTGGCGTGACAGGTGCTTCTGGTGACATACATGGGCTGCTAGAGAATGAGAAAGGGTGAGCCATGGGTGGTGGAACACAGTGATTGGGGTCCATTAATACAAGTGACAAAACCGTGGTGGCAGCTGATCCTGTCCCCGGGTAGGAGCAAGAGGGAAACCCGAGCTGCCTGAGAGTAAATGGGTTGAAGGTTTAATCCCATGTGTTATTTTGCTTTTAGTCTGATTTTCCCTGGTGTCCGCCTGGCCTCCGATAGCCAGTTCAGCGATTTCCTGGATGGCCTTGGCCCTGCCCAGCTAGTGGGGCGCCAGACTCTGGCTACACCTGCAATGGGTAAGAATTTTTTGTCATCTGATTTCATTGTTCCTCCTTTAGATTATTGAAAATTACATTCTCTCGTTTCATGGGATCTTTAACAGTACTGTCCGCAGGAATAAGTGTTTTTATTGTACCAATAAAAGAATTTGAACCGGTTTTTTCCCCTAAGTTAATTGATATGCTTGTTAAAGTAGGAGATCGTTGATAGAATTTTAAATATATTTAAATTTATGAAAATATATGGGAAATGAGGAAGTGGTATAAAACGAAGGTCTTTGGCACAAGCCTGCTTCTTACTGCCTTTGTACACTAAGGCTTGTCTGTTTCTTCCTCATGCACCTTTAGGTGACATTCAGGTAGGAATGATGGACAAAAAGGGACAGTTGGAGGTGGAAATCATTCGGGCTCGTGGCCTTGTTGTAAAACCAGGTTCCAAGACACTGCCAGGTAAGAACAGAAGGGATTCTTCTATGATTTGCAATGCCCACTTTTCAATTCAGAGGCTTTGTTTTTGATTAGATGCTGAAAACTTAGTTTTTGAATCATTAAAGATACTAATCAGTGAGTCTGTTACCTGTAGAAGTTTGTGTAGTTATCCCAAGTGAGTATGCAGGGAGGGTGGTCTGGTAAGGATAGTTCAAGTTAAATAATTCAAGTTAATCTAATTTAAGTAGGTATGTATGTAGTAGAAACCATTGCAAAATGAACATGTACATAAGAATTTCTTTTTCTTATTAGCTGGTATTTTGTGTTCTTCTTTACTTTATCTGGAGCTTCAAAATTCTCCTTGGGAATTCTTAGAGCTCTGCATTAGAATAAAGATAGATTTTTTAAAAAAATAGAATAAAGATAGATATAGGTTTCCAAAGCAGCATAAGCTTTTGTATCTAGGACATTCTAATTAGACTTTTACTTCCTGTAATGTGCAAGGAAAGAGAGGCATCATTAGCATTTTGTATTACGATGTCACACATGTCCTACTGTAATGTCATAATCTAAGGTGCCCGGAACCATGGAAGATGACACAGGCCCACTGTACAGTGATGTATAGAACATGAGATCCGATATGTGGAACAATTAGTGAGGATTCTGAAATTCGGTTCTCACCCCGGCACCTCCAGTAACTGAAGAATAGTTTTAAATTTTGTAACTTCCCTGTCCTTGCAGATATTCTAAATGATAATGTGTACAACCTTGCAGGGTGGTTAAGTCGATTATATTTACAAAGGTCTTGGAGCTAGTTAGCCCACTGTGCCATAAAGAATACCGTATTTTGTACATGCATGAAAATGCTTTTATGGAGAGTCAAGTACATTTCAAGCCAAACAATTCATAATTAGCTGCCTCTTCCCAGCTTATGTGAACGTATTACATCAAAGCCCCCTGCCTTGTACCCATGCCACCATCAACAAATAAACCCTTTTGATTAGTAAATGACTGTTATTTAGAAAAAAATTATATTTATTATTTATATTATATAATTATATTATGTAAGTATTTATTATAGAGATATATTATTTATGTTATAATTTATTTATGAAAAGATGTCATCTCAAGCGTGTTTACTTAGGTTTAAGTACTGACAAATGAAAGTCTGACTAAGACTTCTCTCTTGAACATTGTTAGGGACTGGAAGCGTTTCACCTTATTTAATGCATTGTTTAAATCTATAAAACCATTTGATGGAGAAGTAGTAATCAACTCAGAATAGCCTCTGGGTTAAAGTTGCCTAAACTTCTTCAGTGGCTGATAGGGACTTAGTATTTAGCTAATGATTTTGACATCATGTGGAAAGACGGTTGACTTTTGATTGCTAGTTCTTTTGGCCTAAAACTAGGCCGTTGCAGATGTCATCTGCAAGTTGGGCGTTCCGTAACGGCGCCTTGTCACTTAACCCTCCCCTCTATGTGTTCTTTCCCAAGCACCATATGTGAAGGTGTATCTGTTGGATAACGGAGTCTGCATAGCCAAAAAGAAAACAAAGGTGGCGAGAAAAACACTGGAACCCCTTTACCAACAGCTATTATCTTTCGAAGAAAGTCCCCAGGGGAAGGTTTTACAGGTATTTACTGAATGATTTCTCCCTTATATAGGAAATGGACTCAGACCTTAGACCCACATGTCTTACCGCATTCCCTTCCATTGCTCTTAGCTGGAATTCTTGGGAAATGGCAATGCAGTGACCCATGTTATCAAGCCGTGGACGCTGTGGTTTCCTTTCCAGTGAGCTAGAGACTTGCCAGCCCCCATCAGACACAAACTCCAGTTTCCCCAGACTCCTTAGGATGTGAATAGTCCAGTACACTTTTCTTCATGTGCCTTTGGATTCTAGTAGTTCAAGACCACTATCCCAGCGATTAAAACACAACTGTGGAATTTGATGTTTGATGATAGCATGTTGACCAAATGTATTTTATTTTGCAAGTTTCCATGTGCATAACGATGCTGACCTCACTCTCCTTTTTCTTTTGCCAACAGATCATTGTCTGGGGAGATTATGGTCGCATGGATCACAAATCCTTTATGGGAGTGGCCCAGATACTTTTAGATGAACTGGAGCTATCCAATATGGTGATTGGATGGTTCAAACTTTTCCCCCCTTCCTCCCTAGTAGATCCAACGTTGGCCCCTCTGACAAGAAGAGCTTCCCAATCCTCTCTGGAAAGTTCAACCGGACCTTCTTACTCTCGTTCATAGCAGCTGTAAAACTGTTGTCATAGCAACCAGCGTTACAAAAAAACAAAAAAACAAAAAAAACAAAAAAAAAAAAACAAAAAACAACCCACAGGTCGCAAACCCTGGTAACACTGCATGCTTAATGTTGTGTCTTCTGAGCCTGTTTCTAGGGATACAAAGCGATCCTGTGTTCTCAGAGGAAGTTGCACACATTGTGCCCTAAAGATGGTCCTCAGGTCAAAGAGCAGAGTTATGAAGAACTATCAGGCTTGGAGTTCAAGAACACTTGAGTTTGGGTCCAATCTGAAGCCATGGATTAATCTCAAAGAATCAGTCAGTTTCATGCAACAAAAGCCCTTTTCAATGGCACCTTTCTATTTTTATCGTTCCTTTTTCTTCATTTCTCTGACCCCAAAGCCCTATTATGCCACAGAGATGGAGCTATACAGTCATGAAGCCATGTTACGAGTCAAGGAGTGAAGTCCTCGGAAGCATCAGGTGAAAAGCGGGAGACCAAAGAAGTGGTCCAGGACAGACATCCGCCCTCCTCTGCACAGGGACCAGGAGCAGCCCGTCCAGCGTAAGCCATGGCCGACTTCAGAGCTCCAGCAGGCACGCCATTCCCTAATGCCATGATGTGTTGGACTCTGAAAAACAAAATTCTGTGGCTCCACTGTACTGAATGAAATTAAAGAAACTTTTTTTGCATGGACACAGATTAGCTGAATACTTAAATTATTTTCTTGGGGCTGCAACTTGCAAAAAAAAAAAAGAATAAAAATCAGCCATTTTCAACAATTTATATTATTTTTAAAAATAAATTTCACTATTGCATGGTTTTAAAGGGGGAAGAGAATGCAACAGGGTGGTACAAAGACACACCATGTTTATTCTTTAATCATAGTCTGTGTTTTGGCAGACATTACAAATGAGAATACTTTCTAGAAGATACTTAAAATTCTCTTTATGTGACAAATAAGTATACTATATTCAATTTATTTCCATGTTAAATATACAAATCTTAAAAAGTTCAATATGTGCAAATTGTTCACATCTTTCTTCCTCTTCTCTGTCTCACTTTTCCTCTCTTCTCTTTTAATCTTTCATTTTCTCTCTCCCTACCAGAGTGAACATTATACTAAAAGATTACAAGTTTTTGACCTGATACTCCTTATACCCCATGTTTGATTCAGAGCTGTAGATGCTTCTGAATTTATGAATTTCTCAAGAGAAAAAAAAACACCAAAAACTAAGAGCTTTCTTTATTTCAAGCATGTTGAAAAGGATTTTGCAACATGACTTGGGAGTACATTCACGTAAGTCAGCATGTATTTGATAAAGAAGATATTTGAACTTTTGCAATTTATTGTACAGTGCATGGTACTTTTCTTTTCACCTTCAAAGTTCAGTTTACAGGAAAACCCTAAAATCATGTGCCCATTGTAATGTCTAATAAATTTGTTTTTAGCACCAGCATTATTCATACAGGGGTTAAAGTATTATTTCTAGAAGGTCTTAGGTTTTGTTTTTTAATTTTTAATTAATTAAAGCAATTTCTTTAGCCAATTTCCATTTACTATGTGAATAGAAAAACACTGCTAAAAATTTGGAGCCTGAAACACAGGGCTGTTTATTAATTCATTTTTCTGTAGTAAAATACAGTTTTTCACAAATTATATTTCTAAAGAAATATAGTAAACATAAATATGCAACAAATAATTTTAAAGCTCCAATTTTTAGGTGACTCAAAGAAAGTCAGTTTGCCTATTAATAGTTCTTTGATGCCATCACCAAAAGTCTACACCCCAAGTCCCTCAAGGTCAAACCCCTGCCTTTGGTTTTACAGACAGTCATTACCATTGGGTGGTGCTGCAAGGTCAAGATTCTCTTAAGTTCCCCTCTTGAGAGGAAAAATCACTGGTTAATATATTAAAGCCACCCATACTTTGTTTCTTTATGTACACTTTGATAACACATTCCTACAGGTTGATTTTAATTTCTTGCAGAAACTTTTGAAATCCACATACATACCACTTAAGGCCATGCACAAAAATTGCTTCCTTCTTTCTTTTTTTTTTTTTTTTCCTTTTTAAATTCCATGCTGACCATTAAAAACCATCATGCTTGATATGGTGCAAAAGTTAAAATGAGTATCACTAAAAATGCCTTCTCTTTATGTGGTGCAATATGAAATACACTGAGACTGTGTCTTGACCTTGTGTGATCTACGATGGCCCCAGGTAAAGTTGTCAAAAGAACGAATAAAAACTCTATGGAAATAATTTATTAGACACTTGTGTACCAGCAGCAATTAATTTAATAGACCTGTAGTGTCTATACTCTCCCTTAGAATAAACGTTTACCATTTTCCTGATACGAAGATGCAGTCACATAATTTTTTGTGCATATTCCTATAAAAATTATTTCTAATTTAATAAGAAGGACATGACTGTATGGAATATTTGTACATACTTGTCATTATGCAGTATTTATTTAAAAAGTGGGTGTATTTTTTTTTTTAATTTTCACGTCTGCACCTCGACTTGTGGTTTAGTCGTGTAAATAGCACTACTCCAGTGACCATTGCTGCCCTGTACATAGTATGTTTTAAAAGTAAAGGGAATTCCAGTTGGGGAAAAAAAAAAAAAAGGGCAGATTAGTCCTGTAACGAACACCAACTAATGTAAATCACATTCATTCTGGTGATGGTATTTAACACTTTAAATAAAACATTTTCTTTACAGACGTTGTATGCATGGCTTTCTCTGACTTCTCTTCTCCCCATCCCAAGCCTGCTGCCACTTTTCCCCAAACACACGCGTTGTTTCAATACAACAAAATCATCTTTTCTTACTTCTCCATGACAGAAGCAGCCGCTGGTCTTAGCAAACAGCCCTCAGTAGAGCGTGTTTTCAGAGTGCCAAAGGATCTCGAACTACACCAGTAGAAGTTGCTGCTTTTCAAAAAGGTGGTTATTCTGTGTGGGGTAGAGACAGATTGGTGTTCTGGATTGAGGTGCTTTCTGTTAAGTGACTCAGCAGCTCACAGAGTCTCAGAGCGAACTGAGTGAGATTTCTGAGTCAGTGTCCCCCCTCCACGGAGAGCAGAGTCCTAGAGAACCTCACGCAGATGCTGCCATTTCCTGGGTGAAGGTGACAGGAGTGACAGTGGGTTTTCCGCCACTGTGTCAGTTCAGCTTTGTGGGGGTGGGGGGCGCTTTCTCCGCTGGGAAGACACCTGTGCTAACATGACGGGGAACAACCTGTCCAGAGACCAGCTTCTCTCCTGTGGCTCCGGGTGGGAAGGTTTCTCCATCTCCTAAGGCAGTTCCTCAAACTGGAAGAAAAAGCCCCAGCAGAGTTTTGGTGGAAGTCCTCCCTGGTTGTAAATTTAAAAGGAAGCTTAGTTATTACAAATCCAAACCTAGTTCTTTCTCTGTTCTTGGAAATCACCATTTCTTCCATCTAAGGACTCCATTTCAGCTCAGTCCTCCATGCCTATCCCAGATTACTTTTCATTATTCCATTCCATTCTTCTATTCTAACTCCTGTTATAACCACCCCCTTGCCTTTCTTCTATGCCCTCTCCTGAAAAGCCCTTCTACCTCCTCAAAAACGATCCACACTGGTCCCTCCCTGCAACCCCTAGCTCAGGACGGAGCTCCTCTAAAGCTCTTCCTGACTGCACCCCAGCAACAAGACTGCTGTTGATGCCAACACCTTCACTTTCCCAGGAACTGCCAGTCGAGGCACCACAAGCAGCAGTAAAGGACGTGGGGGTCAGTCTTGCAGGGGCTGACAGAGGAATGGTCAAAACGTTACCGAAGCTGTCTGCCAGTACTGGCTAACTCCCAAGAGTGTAAGCAACTGACTTCTACATCACAAACCAGTTTGGTTTTTTTCCTTTTAAATTAGACTCTAAGGACTGGTTCCTGACTCTGCCACTTACTTCCGTTCTCCTTTGACAACGTCATTTATATTCTGAGTCTCACTACCCACAGCTGCAAGACGGGATAATAAAGCTACCCAGTACGTTGGGTTGTCACAGGGATTAAACAAAATACCGTATAGAGAACACACGGCACCGAGACTGTTAACTATTATGAGCATAAATAATTAATTAGGAGGTCTTAAAAACCAGTTCGTTCTTTGCTGGTCTGTCTCATTGAAGGCACAAGTCTTCCTAAGAAGACATGTTATTTTCTCTGGACACTCAGGGCCAAGCTGGATTGGAAGGTAGCTGTGCTGGGCTCCCTGCAGACCACATCTGATCTTCCCTGAAGAAGAACGTGCCCCCAGTGGGTTCAGCCAACTATCATGAGGGCTCCATAAAAGAAAGACCCCAGGAAGAAATCTCAGCAAGTCAGCTCAGGGCCTCCTCAGAAGGGAGCACTTAGCAGACAGGGTTGGGCAATCATCCAAAAGATGGGACCTTAAAAATACCCTGGGAGAGTTCACTGCACTTGGGCTGGCTCTCTGTCCTGGAAAGTCAGTGATGGCAGCGGAAGTCCCAGGTCCTGAGAGATCACATGACATGGGAGCAGGGTGACCTCAGAATCCTGAGAGACAGAGCACCTTCTCTGATCGTTTCCTAGGCCAGAAATTGGTCAGGCTCTTCTCTGCTTCTCACCTCCAGAGTCTGGGATCCCCTTTTATCATTAGTCTGGCTGGTGGGATGCTGGGGACAACAGACTTTCTGGGTGTCCAGGCAAAGACAATGGAGAACCCCTACAGACTACACGGGGGACTGGTGATATACTGACATACCCAAACCCTGACGCTGATGACTTGAGCCGTATCTGGGAGTGATGAACAGCACGACAGCAAGAAATTGTGTGTTAGGTAATCCTAAGCCTTTCTTAGCAAATTTCAAGCTCTTGATGGAGAAATTTTGGAAACTGTGAGAAAGTGTATGTGTTGCCTAGTTCATTCTTGACTTATTATAGCCAAGAACTTTGTGTGCTGACAGACAAAACAAAAAACAAAAAAACAAACAATGTTTTGGTGGTAAGGGGGAACAGGACAGGGGCTGACTCATCCTGAATATTCTGAGTTCTGACCA